AGTCATTCAGGTCATGGTTGTCCCAAAGATGCTTTTTCAGGTTGGGGTCTCTTGTGGGAACCATTCCTTTGAAACCCCACCCCATGATGGAAGAGGACTATAACACAATTTCCCATACAAAGAATCTCAGAGCCCTGGTGGCACAGTCAGTGGTTAGAATGCAATATTGCAGGCTACTTCTGCTGACTGCTGGCTGCCAGCAATTTGGCAGTTTGAATCTCACCAGGCTCAAGGTTGACTCAGCCTTCCGTCCTTCCGAGGTGGGTAAAATGAGGACCCAGATTGTTGGGGGCAAGAGGCTGACTCTGCAAAACTGCTTAGAGGGGGGCTGTAAAGCACTGTGAACCGGTATATAAGGGCTATTGCTATTAAGAGCAGTGGTGACGCAGTGGTTAAACTGCAGTATTGCAGGCTGACTCTGCCCACTGCCAGCAGTTCAATCCTGACCGGCTGAAGCTTGACTCAGCCTTCTGTCCTTCCAAGGCTGGTAAAATGAGGACCCGGATTGTTGGGGACAATAGGCTGACTCTGTAAACCGCTTAGAGGGGGCTAGGAACTGAATCTTAAATAATTGGGGGTGAACAAGGAATGCAATTTCTCTGCCGTCCTCGCAGAGTAAAAGGTGGGTGGGAATTGTAATCCCTCCCCCGTCTCAGCTCCAGGGTCTCTTCCAAAGTCAACCCTGGCCCATAATTACATTCCTGATGCCAGTTATATAACACGGAGCTGACGTTTGACACATTGAAGGATAAAATGAAGATTTCGTTTTCCATGGCCTTGCAAAGGACGCTGTGATTTTTGTTCAACAAACCTTCGTTACAAATCTTGCCTTCGCATTTTCTCTGAATTTGGCCAGTCGTCTTGGGGCATCCGGCTCAAACATTAGAGGTAGCCCTCAACTTACGACAATTCATTTACTGACCATTCGAAGTCCAATAGATTACAAAAGTGACTTATGGCCATTTTTCACACCTACAACATTGCGGCCTCCCCGTGGACATGTGATCAAAATTCAGGCGCTTGGCAACTGATTCATATTTATAACGGTCACAGCATCCCGGGGTCACGTGATCCCCTTTTGCCGACCTCCTGCCGAGTGAAATCGGTGGGGAAGCCCAATTTACTTAACGACCGTGTCACAAATTGATAACTGCAGGGATTCACTTAACAACGGTGGAAGGAAAGGTTGTAGACTGGGGCAAAACTCAGTCGACAAATGTCTTGCTTTAGGAACGGAAATGTCGGGCTCAGTTGTAGTCATAAGTCGAGGACTAGCTGCATTCCTCTCGATGTGACAGAAAATGATAAGAACTGGATATTGTGCTCCCAGGTATGCTAATGAATTCATTCACATCACCCCCGTTTTTATACCCCGCAAAAAATCCGCGGGATGTTTTCTTCAGTGGAACAGCCACCCATTTCTAGCAGATTTTGGCCCCGCCCATTTTAGGGTCCATCCGAATGTGTGAGGACTAGAACCTTAGCTTATATTTAGCAGTTCCGGAGTCTTGTTTTGTCTGGGTTGGTTTTTTTTTCCCCGGGAACCACGAATCTCGACTCAAAGGATGTTTTTGTAAACCCCTTGGAGATGTTTGTTTTCTGGGTAGCGGAGCGTAAATATTTCTCCTCCTGCCACGGGTTTACGTCTTCGAGCGGTGCCCCTGTTAACCCGCGTTTCCCTCCCTCCCCCTTTTCTCTTCCGCCTTGCCACGTTGCACTTGCCAACAAAACCATTTTAAGGAGTTGGCGGTTCTCCTTCTTTCAATTTGCAATTGTGAGTTTTTTTCTCCTCCTCGGCTATTACCCAGGCAACAAGATACGTCTGTTTCCCTCTGTATATTTTACTTAGAAAAGAATAAAGGGTTGGTTTGTTTTTTTAGCAGGCGTGCAAAGGCGCACAAACACACACAAAATGCGCACCAACTTTTACAGAGACACTCCTGCCAGTCCCTAGCCAAGGAAAAAAATATGAAGTTGTGATCATCCTTTAGCACGGATGGAATTCTTGGAAATCTATCTGGATCTGACTATTTAATAAAGGTAGACCTCGATTTAACAGATTAGCGGAGTTGGAAAGGACCTTGTAGGTCATCTAGTCCAACTCCACACCCAAGTAGGTGACCCTGCACCATTTAACAGATTAACAGGAGTTGGAAGGGACCTTGAAGGTCATCTAGTCCAATCCCCCTCCCAAGCAGGAGACCCTACACCATTTAACAGATTAATAGAGTTGGAAGGGACCTTGAAGGTCATCTAGTCCAACCCCCCCCCACGCAAGCAGGAGACCCGGCACCATTTAACAGATTAACAGGAGTTGGAAGGGACCTTGAAGGTCATCTAGTCCAACCCCCTGTGCAAGCAGAAGACCCTGCACCATTTAACAGATTAACAGAATTGGAAGGGACCTTGTAGGTCATCTAGTCCAACCCTCCGCGCAAGCAGGAGACCCGGCACCATTTAACAGATTAACAGGAGTTGGAAGGGACCTTGAAGGTCATCTAGTCCAACCCTCCGCGCAAGCAGGAGACCCGGCACCATTTAACAGATTAACAGGAGTTGGAAGGGACCTTGAAGGTCATCTAGCCCAACCCCCCGGCGCAAGCAGGGGACCTTACACCACTTCTGACAGATGGCAGTCCAGTCTCTTCTTGAAAGCTTCTGGGGATGAAGCTCCCACAACTTCCGAAGGCAATTTCGGCTCTGAAGGCAATCTTACAACCATCCAATTTAGTGAGTGACATTTCACAACGCTGAAAAAAAGTGATTTACACTTATGGTCCTCACGCTTATGGCCGTTGTAGCTTCCCCGCTCTCAAACGATCAAAATCGCGCACTTAGCCAACGGGGAGGGGGGGGGCATGCGATCATTTTTGTGGTTTCCCTGGCTGGATAAGCCCAGCCAGTGGGGGGAGAAGTTGGATTTGCTTTGTGATTCACTTAAGAACTGCAGTGATTCGCTTAACAACCCTGTCAAAAAAAAATTGCAAAATTGAGTATGGCTCCCTTCACCACCAAAGTTACTTAGCGATGGAAATTCTGTCCCAATTGAGATTGTAAGTTGAGTTGTATGCAGAGGTGCACAGCAGGGCCTTCTCGGGTGTGGCCCCCTTATTATGGAATAGCCTCCACCAGGGGGCCCCATAGTGACACAATGGGCTTTATTTGTGTGCATAAAGCTAAAACATAGCTATTTCCTACTGTTCTGCAGTTGTATTCAGCAGGCAGCCTTCCCTACTTTGATTCCTGTTGTTATTGGCAATTACTTTCTTCATACAGGTGGTCCTCGTCTTATGACCGAGTAAACAATTGAGCCCAACATTAAGCGAGACGCTTTTGAAGTGGGTTTCTCCCCATTTTTACAAATTTTTCTTGCCACGGTTGTTAAGGGAATCACTGCAGTGGATACGCTAGTCACTCAGTTGTTAAGTGAATCCGACTTTCCCCGTGGACTTTGCTGGACGGAAGGTCGCCAAAGGTGATCACCGCAACCGTCGTAAATGTGAGTCGGTACTCCCAGCGTCCGAATTTTGATCACATGACTATGGGGGATACTGCAAAGATCGTGAAGAACAGTCCTAAGTCATATTTTTCAGGGCTCTGGTAACCTCGATCGAACTGTCGTAAATCGAGGACCACCTCTATTGACCAATTCTTCCAAGTTGCACCACGCCCCGAGAGCTCCCTTTGCGGGCCTTGCTAACCAGAGGTGCTTAAGGACGTTGAATGCGGATTAATCTACTGTGTGAATGCCGTCGCTGTGGGGGGGAACTAACCCATCGGAGGCTATTTTAAGCCAGAACAGCCCTGCTTTAAACTCCCATCAGCTCTTCTCACCACGTTGGAACAATAAACAAATTGGCCTTAATTAATCTCTCAGCTTGCAAAAGACGCCAGCAGTTTGCAAGACATTTGCAAAGAGTGTACTCTGACCCAGCGCTACCCCAACACGGCCAATCCTCTGAAGCAAACTCAAATATTCCTTTATTAGGAGCGCCGACAGCTCTGGCAAAAAAGTTTCTCTCACTGCAGGCTAACGTCTGTCCGGCACATCTATTCATCTCCACCCCCTGCCTTTTATCCCCAAAGCTAGGGTGGGGCTTCGCTGGCAGCGGTGGCTCTTCCGTCCCAAGGATCAGCTCATAGATTTCCACTGTTCTCCTCTCCTCTGCCACATCTATTCATCTCCGCCCCCTGCCTTTTATCCCCAGAGTAGGATGGGGCTTCGCTGGCAGCGGTGGCTCTTCCATCCCAAGGACCGGCCCATAGATTTCCACTGTTCTCCTCTCCTCTGCCACACCTATTCATCTCCGCCCCCTGCCTATTATCCCCAGAGCTAGGGTGTGGCTTTGCTAGCAACAGTGGCTCTTCCATCCCAAGGACCGGNTAAAGTGGGGAAAAAACAAAAGGAGATTTCTTCCAGCAACTGGTTCTCTGAACTGCTTAGAAAGTTAACAACCGGTTCTCCCGAATAAGTATGAACTGGCTGAATCCCACCACTGGTCCAATGAAACTGATTTATTGCTACTTATGCCGATGCATGGGAATCGTCTCAATGGACACTTAGCAACTGCTTGGAATTAGATAAGGGACAACGAAATTCAAGGGAGAAGGGAAATCCATCCCTTCTCCCTTGAATTTCGTTGTAGGGATTCTAGGCTGATCCCTTTTTTAACTCCAGCCCCCCAGGTTCTCTCACTCCTTTTCCTACAGTTTGTGTGATTTTTTTTAAAGTGGGAGGCAAAAGACAAGGTGTCCGCCTTGCAATTTCACACATAGCAGAAGATATTGACATTGAGAAAGCATGCTTGATGCACCTCTGTCTTTCAATATGTCACCACCAATTTTGCATCTTATTGATAGGAGGATTTGGCCGTAAGAGCTCTCTGAGTTGCATGTGGTGTAGAAAGCTGTATCTTCTTCACCATGAAGGTCTATGAGGCTAGAAGCAGATTGACTACTGTCTTTGGACTGTCGTCATCTTCCTTCCTTCCTTCTCCTAGGTCTTTGGAAGATATTTGTACTTACTGTGGCCGAGTAATCCGCAACTGTGCCAAGATATCTATTGAGAACCTCAACATCAGCTGCCATGAATACTGCTTCAAAGTAAGGATGCGCCTGATAAATGTGGTATTCACGGAGTTACGAAGGAGCACCAGTTTGGTATAGAGCAGCGATCGGCAATCTTAAACACTCAAAGAGCCACAAAGGTCCTAGCCGGAAGCCCCCCATTCAATTCTAGAGCCAACTGGAAGTCAAGTTCCCCTACCACAGAGTCCTAGCATGGCATCCTTTTCCCCCTACTGAACGCACCATCAATTGTGGAGCCGACGGGCAACAGGGAGCCGCAGCAGAGGGATGAAAGAGCCACATGTGGCTCCAGAGCCGTGGGATTAAGGCACCAGGCTAGAAAGCAAGAGACCATAAGTCCCACCTTAACCACGGAAGCCTACTGGGTGACTTTAGGACAATCACTCTCTCTCCTTCTCAACCCAACTCACCTCACGGGGTTGTCGCTGTGGGGACAATAGGAGGAGGAAGGCATGCTGGAATTGAGTTGCGTTCTTGATAAAAGTAATGAAGACGGGATACCAATAAATAAGCCGGGAGGAGAAAATAGGTGGGAACCTTCACTCCCTAACTGCATAATGGGATGTCCTCATCACTAAGTCTCACAATTTCTGTCTGACCCTCCGAAGCTTTAGCCTGTGAATTCATGCATGGTCTGATTCAGTCACATGCCAAATGCATTACGGAGGGTGCCACGGGTTATTTGTTAGCTGCCTAGCTGCAGAGCAGAGTATACATTTTACACAGGCATGCAAAAGACATGTCCACAGCTAAGTAGAGAGCACTTTTCTTGCTTTTTCTCTCGCAGTGCGGAATCTGCCACAAGCCAATGGGAAATCTCTTGGATCAAATCTTCATTCATCGGGATATTGTCCACTGTGATAAGTGCTACGAGAAGCTCTTTTAGGTGAGCATATTCTGCAAGGGTTAAAGATCTAGAAATCTGGGGATGTTGGTAGAGATCCCCAACACGGCGAACCCTCTGACCTAAACGCCAAAGATTCCTTTATTAGGAATGCCGGCAGCCCTGGCAAAACGTTTATCTTGCAGGCTAACAAGTCCAGCCAGCTGGGAGATGAATAGTTGTTTGCCACATCTATTCGTCTCCATCCCCTGCCTTTTATCCCCAGAGCTAGGATGGGGCTTCACTAGGAGCAATGGCTCTTCCTTCCCAAGGGCCAGACCCATGGATTTCCACTGCTCTCTGCTTTCTGCGCAGCTGCACATCAGACACTGAGCCCTGCTGTTTCTCCTCTTCCTCATCAGCCACCTCCAGACCTGGGGGCTGTTGACTCTCCATCTGGGGGCTGACGGATGGCCCAGGCTCTGCCTCTGTCTTTCTCTCTTTGCCACCTCCATTCCCTCTTCCCCCTCGGAACTCTCAGGTTGCCTTGATGCCGACCCTGATTCCCAAACCCCCTCCTCCTTCTTGTTCCGACCGAGGCTTCCCAAGAGCCTGAAGCAAACTCCTTGTCCCGACCAAAACCTCTTTTATGAATTGATTGTGAATTCTGCTCATTCACATCCAGCAAAGTCTTTCAAGGGAGGATTTACAGCCACAGACCTCATCTGGTTTGGAGAGCTACCAGGCTGATAGCTGCAGAACTTGGCAAAGAGTCTTGGAGAGTCAGGAACCAATGAAGCGAACTAATTGTCTCCTGCAAACTCCACTCCCCTTGCGTTCCTCTTTTGTTTCCTCTGGGACGGGCTATTCATCGTCCACCTTTGGCCTTACTCCCAAGTCGACCCCTGTCCTTTAGCTGTTCCCTTCATCTGGCAACTCTGCGCATGCACACACTGGGAACAGGCTCCAGCTGTTCTTCTGCGTCACTGAAGTCTGACTCAGCTGATAACTGTCAGATGGCCCTGGCCCCCTCTCTGCCTCCCACACACAGTCCTCATCAGAACCTTCCCCAGACTCCAGGACTTCTTCCCCACCGACCTCACTGTCCGAATCCGCTGCCAGCTCTACTGGTGGGTTACTCCTCTGATTTGGACGCTGGAGGGGCCGAGAGGCCACAACAAAGAGACTTTCTCACAGGTTCCTTCCAGATATGACTCATTTTGGGGAGGGTCTTGTAGTCCTTGGCTCACGGCTGAGAGAAAGTGGACCTGGGTCTCCACGTTCATTAAAAAAAAAAACCTCCCCAAATGCAGAGGATCATTGTCGTCCCGCGGCAGATGTTAAAATCGTCTCCAAGCAGTCTGATTAGATTAGATTTATTACATTTATATGCCACCCTTTTCCCCGAAGGGGACTCAGGGCGGCTC